GTGGTATTTGCCAGTTCTCCAAACTATTCAAAATTTCCACTGCTGGTTCTCCAGAACTGGTCAGAACCTGCTGAATACCACCTCTGGTTACAACTTTATACAAAGAACCTTGCTAGAAGGATCAGTAGATGAAGAAAGAATTAAGAAACAACAAATAGATACTTGGAATAGCAATACGCATATACTGTAGATAGTCTTCATTTACCGATCTCTAGTTCAGTGACCAAACTTACGACAGCACTGAAAAATAAGACCTACAACTGGCCCTTCAAGTTGCAGGCATTGCAGCATTCCCCTTGGTCATCAGATCATTATTCTAGTGCTTGGCAACCAGCACACATTTAATGATGGTGGCAGTCACATGATCATTATTTGCAAGATTCAGTCAGCTTCCGACAAGCAAAATCAATGGGGAAACCCGCAAGAAGTCTCAAGTCACAATAACATGATACCATCCTTGGCAACCTATGGTAATTTGCTTGACTACTATAGCCAGAATTGACATAACCTGTCACAGTTTCATGATGTCACACATTACAAACAACACCACTTAGCAAAAGACTTCTCAGTCCTAATAGACAGTTGGTAAATGAGGACTATAGGTAGTCCACAATTACCAAGCACTTGTTCATTAAACAGAGTTCGACAACATCATTCCTTTGTTCACTTATTTATTTTCCAATAGCAATAGCACTTAGATTTATATACCACTTCGCAGTGCTTTACAGCTCGCTCTAGGTGGTTTACAGAGTCAGCCTATTGCCCCCAGCAATCTGGGTCCTCATTTTACCAACCTCGGAAGGATAGAAGGCTGAGTCAACCTTCAATTGGTCAGGATCGAACTCCTGGCAGCGGGCAGTTACCTAATCCCCATCAGCAATGCCCTTCCGCGCTTTGCATAAAACAAACCGGGCAGTGTCTGTACAAAATAATACAGAAATGTATTTCTGAGATCAAGACTAGCAACAATTAATGACCAAAGAGAGAAATTATTCCAAACTAAGATAACATTCTGTAACTGACTGTAACATAGCCATTCTAAAGGGAACAAAGAACTTCAAAACTAAAATTGAACGATGAAGTTGCCAGACTACAATATTTCAAAATGTCTAATTCTGTGGCTAATTTAGCCTACCAAAGCCAAGATGTTGCCTTTCTTACTAGCAATATAGTCGTTAACCTGAATAAAAGGTTTTTTATTATATTATAATGTTAAAAGTAATTTTACTTTTAAAGGTTTTTCTCTGTGTGTTTGGAGAAGACACAGAAGGCATCGAAGATTGAAATTAACTATTTAAAGTTATGTTTGTTGAAATGAATTACTTACTAAAAGCTATGCAATCCTAACTGGTGATTGTAAACCAAGATAACCTTCCAAATATCTACTAGGATGTTTGAGACCCAATGAAACAAAACACATAGAGTATCACATTAAATATTAGGATAGAAGGAAATTCAGAATTTCAGCATTTTGAACCTACTCCTTGATTTCAATACTGCAGACTTGATTAGATACCATAATTTAGAATACATTAGCAGTTCAGTCATGTTGTAGAAACCTTAAAAGGGATTTCTTCCTCACTTCAGTTTTACTTAATGGAAAAGGCAATATTAACAAGCTGCAATAGCAAGATCTTTATCAGGAGGGAGATTGAAAAAGAGAAGGAGGGAGGGAAGGAGATAGAAAAGGAACTTAACTACATTCTCTAAGGTAAATTTAGATAAAAGAGTTTTCTCATTATTAGCAGGAAATGTCAGATTTGGTTCATAAAAACCAGAAAAAATGTCCTCCTGTAATAGCAAGACACTTGTTATTACATACAGAATTATCCTTTTTGCACATCTGCCAAGAAATCTTGGTACATTTCCTGAAACACTATTATTTTTTGTTAAAAAAAATGTATAGACCTTTAAACAGCTATATATATTTGTTCTATATGAACCTGTACCTACTGAATTAATAGCCAATACCAACAAAGTACAAGTAATTGTCAGGTTACAGTGGCAATTGAGGCCTGGATTCACATTGCTAGGAGAAATGGTCATAAACCGTGACATCACATGACTGTATTCCTTAACGATAGCAATCGATAGCAATGCAAGACCTAGTAGCTCTGGGTCTGGGGTTCATTGGTTCAGGGAGAATTACCACCTTTAGTCTTGGATGGGGTGGCACTACCCCAAAGAGACCCTGTGCGTAATCTGGGGGTTCTCCTGGACTCACGACTCCTGTTCGAAGAGCAGGTGGTGGTCGTGGCCAGGAGGGCCTTTGTGCAACTGCAGGTTGTGTACCAGTTACGCCCTTTCCTGGATCAGCGGTCCCTACTCACAATCACTCATGCCCTGGTCACTTCCCGTCTTGATTATTGCAATGTGCTCTATATGGGGCTGCCCTTGAAGAGCATCCAGAAGCTCCAGTTGGTGCATGGTTTTATGCAGACCCCACTGTGCACATGTATCACCTCTTCTGCAGGAGCAGCATTGGCTGACAATTTGCTTCTGGGTGCAATTCAAGGTGTTGGTTTTGTCACCTTTAAAGCCCTTCATGGTTTGAGTCCAGGTTATCTGAGGAAACATCTCTTGCCAGTGACATCTACCCGACCCATTAGAGCGAGGCAGGGAATGCTGCGGATCCCACCCCTGAGGGAGATACACCTGGTGGGACCTAGAAGAAGGGCCTTCTCTGTGGTGGCTCCATCTCTCTGGAACATCATTCCCCCAGAGTTTAGAATGGCCCCCTCATTAATACTATTCCAAAAGGCACTGAAGACCTGGTTTTGCCAGCGGGCCTGGGGAACTCAGAGATGGATGAAACCCATCAAATGGCTAGTGTGACCCGCTGTCGTCAGGGTGGGGGGGTTGGAGTTGGTTTTTGTTTTTGTTTTGTTTTGTTTTTCCCAAATTTTGTTCTGTTGTACTTTACTAATTTATTTGATTATTTTTGTTAGTTCTTATTGTTTTTATTTTTATTTTTATTTTGTTTTAAATATGATTTTACATTGTGTAAGCTGCCTTGAGTCACCATGGGCGAATAGGTGGCAATATAAATCAAATCAAATCAAATCAAATAGTAGTAATCTTATTTATCTTTCTTATCTTCTTTACTCCTTTATTTTACTTCTTTATTGTTGTGATTATCATTATTCTGTTAATTTTACATGTACATTGAGAACTTCTGCACCGGAGACAAATTCCTTGTGTGTCTAATCACGCTTGACCAAATAAAGTATTCAATTCAATTCAATTCCAACCAGTCACAGTTGTCCTCATAACTTCAAGACATGTGGGTGGTTAAGCAGGAAGAGGCAGGGATCCCAGGTAAGCAGTGTGGGGTGGGGTGAGGGAGGCTATGGCCAATGCAGGCTGCATGTACTGTAAATAAGGCCTGGGGAGACCAACGGCAGCTGTGGGTAGGATGGGAGGTGTACTATGGATGAGACATAAAGTGGCTTATTGGAATGGCTTGCAACCTTCTCTGCGGCTTCCCTATTGAGTTTGCTTTTGGGAACCCAGAAGGGAAGGTCACAAATGGCAATCACATCATGGCTTCCTGGAACATAACTGCATGCCAGGCATCCAAGCATCTGAATCATATTCACATGGCCACAGGGATATTCCAATGTCCAGAACTTTGAGGATCAGGCATACGTCCATTTTTTCAGCTCTATCATAATTTTGAATGGTCACTGAATGAATGGATATAAGTTGAGGACTACCTGTGACTGTCAATTTGCACCTCTGTAAAAGATATTCATGAAAATAACTGCCCCTCTCTGCCTAATTAAATCCCATCCTTCCAACTAGGAGCTTTAGAAAACATTTTCAAGATAAGGACAGCATTTTACAGTTATATCTATGTTCTAGCTCTTTGCTAAAAATTAAGGGAATAGACCACTGCTCAAAAAACCAATTCAAAATCTCCAAAGTAAGAATTCCCTTAAACTACTTTTTAAAATTTTTGGATTTAAAATAGAAAAAAAACATCTACTAGAAAGAAAATGAGAAAAGAAACTGAATTCTCTTTTTCATAACCACAAAAAATACAGAATATAAGCATTAAAATTGTCCAATATCCTAAGACTGGCATGGTTAAAAAAAAAAAAACTGTAAATGCAATGCCATTTGTCGTTGCCCATTCTAGTTTTCCCTGTTTACTGTCCTCCCATTGTGAGACAAAGTACATGGCAGATGGGAAAACAGAATGATTTTGGCTTCTTGACTTCTAGCAAGGACACAGAGACAAAAAGACAGAGAAGGTATTGATATGGTGAAGGATAATAATGATGTCCAGATATTGTGAATTCAAAATGTTTAAGCTTAAAATGTTTTCAGTACACTCAGAACACACTGCAAATAAGATCACAACATGTTTCAATATTGAAATAAGATTCCTGAAATTTTAAACTTTTTGCATCTCTTGGCAAGACCCAGGAAAAAAGATCATATCCGTTCTAGCCCTTCACACCTGATCTTCCTTCCTTCTGTGTCTTTTTCTCTTTCTCTGGTCTTCCTTCAACCTTCACCTGTTTTTCCCCCCAAGACCTTTATAAACAAAATTTAGGAGAAAATCAAGTTGTTTAGGGTTATAAAAGCCAGAAATGTCTCACTCCTGTTCCAATTGGATAAAGTAAAAGCAAAAATCACTGAGTGAGATTATCTGGAATGGTAAGGGGGATGTTTTCACAATAGACAGGAAGTGAGGAAAACAGATTCAGACTCATAGTCATGATGGTACCACTCAAGTGCTGGACTCTTCCTATAATAATTGTGATTTAGATTACACACAGTGAGGCATCAAAGGAACAAAGCACCAAAAAAACATTGTTCCACCTCTTATCTTCCCCAAATTCACCACAGCTTTCTGAGAAGAAAGCTGGATCAAAAAGAATACACCTTACCTGGTACCAGTGTTTCATTCAGGGCAGGCCAAGAGTAATTCCCAGCATACCAAAAATAATTACAAATTGGTCTTGAAGAACCGGATTTCGAGAGCTACTCACCAGCCATGGAATGAGGAGGTCAGTGAAGTATACAAATGCTGCTCCCAGAATGAAGCCAACAGCTACAGGGAGGAAGGCCAAGGCTCCAAACTTCCCAGAGTCCTCAGCTAGCTCAATAGCAGGTTCAAGAAGGGACCAGAAAGAAGCAGCCAGCATAACCTAAACAACGGAAAACAGTAGGCTATTCAATTAAAACAACTTTATGCTCAATTCCCCGAGAACCCAATGAAAGAAAGTTGATGTTAATATCTATTTCCATTCACCAAACAGAGAGGCAGGAACCAGTGTGGATTTATATACAACATATTTAAAAGTTAAGCAGAGTCTAAATATTTCAAATTAAAAGTTAGCAACTTATCACCCAGGAATCACAACTAGACACAAGAACATTTTTTTTCAATCGCCATCACTCTGCTAAACAAATAATTCCCTCAACACTGTTCAATTATTACAAAGTCTGCACTACTACTATTGTTAATCTTCTCATCACTCCTTATCATCCCTCCCCTCCCACTTATGACTGTATGACTGTAACTTTGTCACTTGTATCCTTACAATTTATATTGACTGTTTCCTAGTATGATTTGATTTCTTATTGTACCCTATGACTATCATTAAATGTTGTACCTTATGATTCTCAACTCTTGACAAATGTATCTTTTCTTTTATGTATACTGAGAATATTTACACCAAGAAAAATTCCTTGCGTGTCCAATCACACTTGGCAAATAAAGTATTCTATTCTATTCTATTCTATTCTATTCTATTCTATTCTATTCTATTCTATTCTATTCTAT